TCCTCCTCTCTCAACAATGCCACTAGTGCTCCAAGTCTCTTGTGTCCAAACATCATACACCTGATACTAACCTGAAGTGGATTTGCAAAGACAAAGTAGAGTTCCTCTGTTTTCTCCAAATAGATCATACGGATTGAGAAGACTACCACTTGCTAAAGGTCTCATATTACTATTTTCTCCCCTACGAGTCCTTTCCCAAACTTAACACCCACGTGCATATCTGGGTTTAGTAAACAATCCCACTAAATGCATCCCGCTAGCCCCTACAGAGATCCTCTGCCTCATCAGGGTTCATTTGGCACCAAATTACTCAGTGCCTAGGTCCCACAATCAGTATAACACAGCTCTTCTCTTCTTCTTCTGCTTTGCAAGCCTCTCTTTTAGGGCTTTCCCTCATGTACTCTCTCAGGCACCACAAGCACCACAGCGTGGTTCTAGAGCCTTAGATTGCCCCAAATGGCAGCAGCAACTTTGTCTCCATACTTGGTAATTCCCAAGCTTCTCACTGCTCCCCTCGCCCAGAGGTCAATGCCAGAAGTGCTTACAGGGCCCTCATGCAGGTTACTGTGGATGGCTCTTCCCAAATGGATTTTGCCCTTGGGCTTGGATTCCTTGGGAGTCCAGACTCCCATGGGCAGGCAAACCCTCACCAACTAGGGCAAGAAGTGTCTCTCACTTGTTTCACCCCTCCTCTTTTGGAGGACAATGAGCTTTTGGAGTGTGTCTGGAAGAGGGCAACAAAGTTGATCAGAGGACTGGAGCATCTCTCAGTGCAGGCTGAGAGAGTTGGGGTTGTTCAGCCTGGAGAAAAGAAGGCTCCGAGAAGACCTAATAGCAGCCTTCCAGTCCCTGAAGGAGGCCTACAAGGAAACTGGAGAGGGACTGTTCATCAGGGAGTGTAGTGACAGGACAAGGGGTGATGGGTTTAAACTGAAAGAGGGTCGATTTAGATTAGATGTTAGAAAGCAATTCTTTACTGTGAGGGTGGTGAGGCACTGGAACAGGTTGCCCAAAGAGGCTGTGGGGGCCCCATCCCTGTAAGGGTTTAAAACCAGGTTGGATGAGGCTTTGGGCAACGTGGTCTAGTGGAGGGTGTCCCTGCCCGCAGCAGAGGGGTTGGAACTCGATCATCTTTGAGGTCCCTTCCAACCCAAACCATTCTGTGATTCTATGATTCTCTGCATCAAACACTAGAGCATCTCTCAGTGCAGATAAACTTTGTGCGACTTACCTGCAGGATTCCAAAAATGGGGATAATAGAGAAGGGCTGAGTCGCACCACAGAGCCCTGCTATATGGACAACAAATTGCATTTCCCTCTAAAGGATGCCGCGCAATCCAGATGACCTTGAGATGCATGGGCTTAAGGGAACAGTTTCATAAATGAATACAGCAAACATCAAAGAGAACTGAATTAGACAGACAGACCACACAGACTGAAGTGAACTTGAACATTGCTGTCATAACACTATTTATAATTTTTCTCTCCAGAACAAAAGGAGTCAGTAGGCATCTGTCGGTGTAACAAGGCAAACTTCAGAGTGGCTCAAGTTCCCATTTCATTTACTTTCAGTAATTGCATATATTTGCTTTTTGAGCATATCTTAACAGAGGAGCCTTAAAAGGCTGAATGGTAATGTGGAGAAGTTAGTAGACAGGGAGGGGGAGATGACAGCAGGCAGAAAGAAAAGAGAGGGAAGTTAAATGAAGGCTGCCTGCTGCATCCATTCACTTCAGAATAACACTGCCTGCTTCTGCAAAAGGTCTGTGAGACCCTTCACAGTAATTCAGGAGCTTGTCATCAGATTTACTTTTCAACTGAAACACTCATGAAAGAAGTTCAAAGAACTGACTCTTAGTTCTGTCTCTGACTAGAGCTGAAAGCAGCTTTTTAACCTTGTGTTTTGCACAGTCTCGTCTGCCCAGCACACAGTGCTGGTCAAGATTACAGAACATTTTCCTCGCCTAATGCCAAACAGATGTTACGTAACACAGTTGATGGAACATATATAAACACATGCTTTAGTGTTTTCTCATAATAATAGCCCGAAAAAGCCCCAAAACCTGGAGTTGATGGAGGAATGCAAAATGAAATCCTGGTCCATAGCTGGTCTCCATGCCACATTTTAAAAACCTGCTACGACCCAGGAATCTTTGAAGATGCGCTATCAGACACTTGGGCTCCAAATTAGTAAACTAAATATGGGGATTCTCCTCTGGCAGAGGGAGCCGCTATACCATTACATTTTCTTACCCTCCAAATCCAGGTGTCCACATTCTGTGGACATTTTCTGTCCACTCCACATTGGGAGTGGTACCTACCATGTGCTATCTCACAAAGGCTATCTACTGAGACTGTGCTGGGTGGTCTGGGCTAAAACTGTCCCAGGGATTGTTATAATAATTTACAAGTCTAAGCAATTGAGTTATAGTGCCCAGAAACATTCTCTGGTGTTGTTTAATTTACTGGCATAGCTGTAGCCCCAGTTTCTCTTGGCCTCTGGCTATGGATCCAGAAATAGTCTCAGGTTCTCAGATTCAGATCCATGGTTTCACTGATGGGAGACTCATGCATGCAAAAAAGTCCTCCTCGAGGCTTTGATTTTTGTGTAAAGAAAATGGATAAAATATAGACCAGGTAGCAGAGGTTAGGCTTTGTGAAGTATACTCTAGCTCTCATTACAGCTCTGGGCATGGAGTGCAGGGCCACAAAAGCATCTCTTTGCAAACTGGAAGGCTTTCAGAAAGTTGGCTATACTGAAGGACCAGCTCAGGTTAAGGTTCTTTGATGGGGCCATAAAGGTGTATTAGAGATTCAAGTCATAGATTGTCTAGGAAAAAAAGTATTCCATTCTGAGCTGTAAACTGTCTAACACTGACAAACAAATATATATTTGGGAGGACAAGGGGAGATGTCCTGAAAGCAAAAATGATAACGTCAGCCTTCAATCAAAATAACAAATAGATTAGGTTTGCCATCGCTTGACAGAAACGCATGCAGGTGATGATCTTTAGTCTAGGAAAAACCACTAGCTAACTGGTAAGCCATGAGAAACAGCCTTTTGTAATATTTGTATTTATTTTCTTTGTCTGGGTCACAGCCAGTTCCCTTAAATCCATAGTGGTCTCATTTTGGACTTTTCATGGAACCTGGATTGAAAAACTGTGGCTGTAATATTCCCACTTGCAGAGCATACTGATGACTCTATTTATCCATCCTAACAATTGTCGGTGTACGTGATTTCTCCTATTTCTCCTGGTCTGCAGCAGCTGTCTGCATGACTCGTGAAATACTGCTGTTCATTTCTTACCAAGGGCACAGCACTGCGAGGGCTCTGCAAATCCACGGGCCCTTGGTCAGAGCTCTGACAACAGACGCTGTGACCAGGCCTGATCTTCTGCTTCCCAAACACACTTGGAGACAGGTGTTCTTGGACTACAACTGGTAATCTGTTTGATGATTGCCATGGCCAAAGGACAGGAGGCACGAGAATGAGATATGTTCAAAGAAGTTGACTGTTGAGATGTAGGGATCTTACAAGGCCATGCTTGAGTTTCACACTCAGTCTCATTTTTCATTTGTCACGGAAAAACGATTTGTTAGGAATGATGTTCCAAATGAATTATGTTTTTCTTTCATTTTCAAAAGCTGAAAATTACCTGAAATTAAGTTACATCTGCTTTACAAAGAAGATGTAAAGAGCATAAGAGTAGGGTAAATAAAGTGATCAAAACCACATTTAAAATATACAGAGAGTGGTGGCAATTTCAGGGGATTTTTTTGTTACAGCAAGTGGCTCTAGGAGAAAGCAGCCTAATATTCCAGAGTCCCTCAGTTTTCAGATAAACTTTCAGTTTCTGAGTTCTCCAACAGTTACTGGTTTGGACTCCAAATACTCACAGAGCACTTAATTTTAAAAACTTAAAACCATCTCAACAATTATATTCCTCGTGAGTAAAATATTTAAGCTTGTGCTCAAACCCCACCGATCTAACAAAATGTAAACATGCACATGAGCACTTGGCTGGGATGTGCTAGGACCACCTTCAAGCATCATTCAAGTACCGCTGCTGGGCTGAATTAAGTCAGAAAAATTGTTGCCAGGATTTCTGTAAAGGCATCTTAACCCTGTTAGTCTCAACAGGAATTGAGCCGTTCATTTTCCCGGGGACAGCATCTGCCTTAGAGGGAACATGATTCTTCCCTGTGCTGTTTCAGAGTGAAGCTGACTCAAGTCCACTAGCAACTCCCATGTAAAATGGTGTAATACAGGGAAAGACTGAGTGCCAGGTTTCCATTCCTGACCTCTAACATAATGTTGACATAAAGTCCTGGTCAAGGTCCCAGCCCCTTCCTGCATCTGTTCATTATCTGTAAAACCAAGTACAGTATTACTTGCCTATTTCCCAGGGAAGCAGTAACCATAATTTGATTAATAAGTGCAGAAGCACTTTGAGCTTCTTAGATAAAATACACTGCATAAATATTGTCCAGGCCTGTATTTTAACATTATAAACTAGGCAGAAAGTGGAAACAACAAAGAGGAATGGATTAATTGCTACATTCATTTAATATAATTCATAAATGGATAAATGCTTGTAGTTATTTGACTTGGCAACATTTACAGCACTCTACAGCAGCAAACCAAACATACTCACAAGAGGCCGGAGCAAATCCCAGCAATAAAGACATAAGTAGTAGACAAGCTTTACATTCTTGTTCAGGCTGCTTTTATCCCAGAGCTGCAGGTGTATATACATATAATACTCCAACTTGCTCTTAACAGTTCTAAACTTACTGAAATTTATTCACATAGCTACACAAATTAGTTGTGTAGAAGAGAAAGGCAGTCTCATAGGTGAGACTGCATCTTGTGGTGCTGTTAAGAAACAAGAGCTTTCAAAGAAGCAGGAAAAATCTATTATTTGAGTTGCATTCAGTAAACTGGATTTTTCTGTAAGATGGTAAATTATGTTATCTTCTTTTTCCTTAATGTAAAGGTTAACAACAGAATATCCAGGACACTATGGAGAAGATATGGACATGATGATGTACACTTATGACCATTACATCCGTGGAGCAACCACAACTTTCTCTGCTGTGGACAGGTTTGCTTTTCATCTGTTTCATTACAATTTATTTTTTTTTAAAAAAAAAAAAAAGGTCTTCCTTTTCTATTTCCCCCAAACAGTGCATGGCTACACATCAGCTGCTGTGGTACTCAGCATCAGGCTAGTGCTTCTGAGGACCAAGGTTCACAGTGCATGTGGTTAATTGTCCAGGGTGGTGTATCAGGAATAGGGCATCTTCACGCACAAGGGGATCATTGGCCGTGTCCATCTGAGTAATAAAAAATATAACCATGGTAGGCTTGGCTAAATCTGAGCTCTGTAAAGTGTAACAGATCTTCAGTATTGTTTCTCACTCAAAGGAGCCGAGGTGTTTTTGTCACCATGACGCTCTCAGCTTGCCAGAGTTCACCAGGGATTCCCTCAGCCAAAAGATTACCTAAAATAGGAAGACCTTTCCAGAAATGATAACACACTGTCAGACTGCTGCAGGTCCATAACTGTAATTTTCTGGCTAAAATTCATTAGCCAAATTAATTTATTAATAAATAGAAGCCATGTCTGGAAATTATCCCTACAAGCAGAAGAGTAACTTTCACAGTGAATTGACTCCAAGGTATCTATTTATCCCTTTGGATAAAGAATTTACAAAGTTGCAAGGGACATCTCTGTTCTGGGTTTTTTCTGTTCAATATTGCCCAGCGCTATTCTTAATCCTTGTTCCTCATGGCCGTGGCAGAGAGTAAAGGAGATAATGCAGACAGTGTGCTCCCCTGCAGCTGGATTCCAGCCTCTGTTGGATGTGGACCAGGCTAAAGTCAGGAATCACAAGGACAAGCCTGGAAAACAGAGCAGTTGAGGTAACCGATGCCTCTGCGCAGATTTCTGTCTGTGACTGCTGAAGGCTTAACCTAGCCTTCAGAATGGGGTGGCAGTGGGGGACTGGCCAAGAGCGGAGACAGCATCGCAGAGATGTGCATCAGGAGTACAGGTCCGCGCAGGTTATGGAATCAGAGTATCTGCACAGGGAAGAAGCCACCAACACCTTTGTCCTACTACTGCTGTGATAGCACAGATGAACCTGCAATAGTAGCAGGTGAAAATTATAGAGAAAACATTTTATGAACTGCAATCTAGGAAATTTTTCTGTGCCAATGAACTTTCTGGACGCCAGTTTCCAGAATGACTAAACCCAACTTGTGTTGCCTAGTGTACGAAGCAAAAAAAAATTCCTGCTATGCCAGTTCATAACTCAGATTCACGCAGTAACGCTCCTGAGCGGTATACTCACAAAAGTCAGCAAAGTTTGTCTTTGCAGCTGGTTGAGGCAGAATAGGAGCAAAAAAAGCTATTCCCAGTCCCAGCCTGCCAGCAGCATGCACACATGTAGCTTGTCTGTGCAAACATGCTGTAGATTTTGAGACTGCTTTTCATTTTCAAGCACATTAAACTTGTGCCCATACTATTTAGCCCACAATGGGCAATGCTCTCGAGCTAACAAGAGGCACAAAAAAAGCCTTTAAAGATATATTAGTTTAAGCTTTGCTAATCACTTCAAACAGTTAGGTATTTTTAGACTTTTTGAATAAACTTGCAGAAATCATATCCTCCCTTCCTAGTCCCTACGGCATTGCATCACTGCGGTCACTGCTGATGCACAGGGATTTAAGAGAGCACATGATGCCTGGCAAAAGCTGTAAAAAGTTTAGAAAGATGGTATCCCCACCTCCTTTTCTGCAATCACTCTCTGTGAGTTTCCATGCCTGAGTATCAGGAATGAATGAAGGAGTTGCTGTTCATCAGAGGTTTTAAGTGCTCATCTGTGGAGAACAGACTTTAGAAGTGGTTAATATTTACATTTTTTCTGTCCCATTTTAAAAACAATTGTCTGTAAAGCAAGACAAAAGCAGCTGGGAAGAATTAGCAGAGGCCTGAAGTATCTCTGGGAGCACATTTGGGAGCGTCATGGTAATGCTGATACAGACAGGATGACCTATGGACATAAGTAAGGGAACTTTTGCAAGGAAAGGCACTATCTTTTGTTAGACAGACTAATACAGTCAAGTCTCAGAGGTGGACACTGAACAACTGAATCTGCCCACATAGACATGCACATTGTAAACAACTGAAACTGCCCACATAGACATGCACATTGTAAACCCTTGGGAAAATAGCTTCCAAAATTTAAAATAAAATTTAAAAAAAAAAAGCAAGCTTCAAAATAGTTTTAGCCTGAGCTCTGAAACATGCTAAGTGATGATGGCATGGGTCCCTCATGGAACCTTGTTCTGGGGCTGTGGTCTGGTGGGATCAGTCTCTCGAGTCCAGAGGGCACCACTGGACCACTCACAGCCTTACCTGCAGCGAGGGGCTTGGACAGGGAGGTGAGGATTACCAGTTGTGCTTGGTAGATGCCACAGCTTGTCCTTCGCTGCATAATATAAAAATAGCACATGCAGGTTGTCATAAGATCCTTTCTTTTACAAAACTGTTCTCTGCTCCATTTATTTGGGTCATCTGAATAGCCAGTAATTTCTTAACTGCTTAGACATCATCACTGAAAGATAGATCAAACCCCAGATGCCCCAGCAGTAAGTACATTTAAAATGCCTGGACAAGCTGGATATCTACTGAGCTCAGCTGAGCTAAATTATAGGGTAATTTTAGGTCCCTAATAAGTTTCATATGATCAAAGAGGATTTTGTCAAACTCAATATGAATAGGAATTCATACAATTTTTTAACTGAATTAGAAACAGATTATTCAGCAATATTTGGAGATAAAAGATATTTTCCCTATAGCATCAAAAATTCAAATCTGACGGCACAATACAGCTGGAGAGTAAAAGTGACAATGCAATATTGACTCCCCAAGCCAAGGAAAATGCATGAAATTAGCAATTTGGGGGACACACACCTATAAACTGGTATTAAGGATCTGCAAAGGCAAGTTCATATATATATATTCTAGAGTATGTCACATAGGGCAATTCCTGACAAGATCTGCACTCCCACTGGAAAACTTGTAAGGGATATACAAATTGAAACAGGCTGATAACTGTTGAATTAAACACACAGCACCAATGACACAAAGTAATTGCCTGCATCCTGAAAAGCTGGACATATATGCTTAACTTCAAATACAAGTAATGCAAAAAAAGATAAATTAAGACATTAAATGCATAAACCTATTGGCCACCAACCATGTGCACAAATGCTAAAGTGTCTGCAAGTTCAAGCTTAAATTACAGTATCAGAAATAATTGTGTTCTCGTATTTTAAAGAATGTTATTAATTCAGGTAACTAAAATACATTTATTTTAAAGAACTTGACTTTTAATTTTACAATATCCTTTTTAGAAAAATGACTTGACCTCAGCTTTTGAGCTAAAAGCCTCTCTGACAACGGGTGCTAGTTTAGCAGACTTTAATTTTGACCCATATAATCCTGTTAATCCACATGAGTCACCTTTTTTTTGGGGTCTATCTGGGTAGCTCAGTGACCAAAAGAGTAATAGCTGTCTTTGAAAAGCATGCACATAGTCCTAAAATAAAAATGAATCTTGCATTTCATTAACCTTTGGTAACAGTTTTATGAGGCAATTATAATTAAAAACCACCTACGAAAGGCCTAAAGAAAACAACAAAAAAAAGACTATATAACTAAACACAGACATGCTGATGAGTATGAGACAGACCCATTTCCAAACGACACTCAGCATAAACTGGTGTTAGCATAGTAAATTTCCAATTAAAAAACCTCAGTTACTGAAAGCTGAGATTAGATGCTTTATAACTACACAGAGCTTAAGAGTGAAATTAATCTTATTCCAGGATACAGTACCCCAGTCAATGAAACCATATCACAGCAGTCAATACCAAAATCTGGGCTCAGGTGTCTCAGCACATCCCTGAGTGGCAGCAGGTTCTACACTAGTTTCCTCACCGGAGCTGGCCACCAGAAAACCAGAACTCTGCAGGGGTCTTGTAAAGCAAGCTCATATTGAACCACTCCAGCAGCATTAACTGTCCTGTGCCTCAGGTTTAGGAGATCACTATTAGGAGAATCCAAACTTTCAGAAACCTCTCAGAGTACTACCCCTTACTAATTTAAATGACGGCTGCCATCTGCAAGGACTGTACTTTAGATCTAAACTCCTGTTAGCCAATACCAAGCAGCCCAAATTGAACATTTGCTCCATAGCAGGACAGTATTTGATCCTCTGAACTCATGGCTTTTTGTCAAGGGAAAATTTAACACACAATAAGCTAAGGTGGAAATTTGCAGACTGTTGCAGCTACTTGACAATAAATCACTGGCCTCCACAGTCGAATCCTGCTGCTCCAGCCATGCTTCCTACTAACAACTGTTAGTAGGTATGGTATCACTCTCCTGAGACAGAATACAGACATCCAATTACTCACAAACCAGGAAGAGCATAAACTCTCCTTGCACTCATAAACATTACTTTGCCTCACATGTGACTTATGGAGATCAAGGATGAAAAGTGAATTTAATTTCTCTCACTATTGATTCCTTCACATCTTTAATAAAGGACACTAGTAGTGGAAAGAACACTAGAAGACCTAGTAGTGGAAAGAAAAAAAAAAAAAAAAGACTGCATTTTGTTGCATGGATAACTCCCCACTTAGAAATAGCATGAAAATCACCCATGTATTTTACTCTGTACACATTCCTGAGCAATATATCACATGACAATAACTTTTGACAGAACCATCCTTTTCCTCTTGGTCACTGATTTAAAGTCGATTTAGGACTGATCACCATCAAGAGTCATTGTCTTCTGAAGGATACTAAGAGACCTAATTATTCAGAGAGCTAATTTTCTTACCTTGTAAGGGAGTGTGAAGGAGTTATAACTATGAGAGATATTTAATCTCCTTCCAGCCCATAAAACCACAAAATACTCAGAGGAAAGTCAGCTAACGGCAGAAAGATGTTGTTGTTGCCACAATACCTGGTGCAAAACTATCCTTACTTGTATAGTCTTATCCTCTTTGGTGCTGGCTCACTAATATCTCTCTCTTGTCTCCCTTTCATGCAGGGATCGTCAATGGAAATTCATTGTCTGCAGGATGACAGAGTATGACTGCCCATTTCAAAATGTTTAAAAAGATTGAGTGTACCCCACTTGGAAAGCTTGGGGATGGATAGGGTGGGATAAGGGTCAGTGATTACAGGAGAAGAGCAATTAGGCTCACAAAAAAGTACCAAGACTCATCAGCCATCTGCTGAAGACATAATTCTTTCCCTCTGGAGCTAACAAATAAATTTCCAGGCGCAATTTTGGAGGATTTCTTCAAGCTGCACTGGCAGTTGTATCCCCCAACTAAAATTGCTTATGACATACAAGTTTATGATACACAAGTCTATGGCATATGCACAGTTACCTTTTTTATATATACATATAGCCATTCTGAACACATACAACTTACTTTCACATAGCAACTTTGTATAAATTGCTTCCCAGCACAGTCACTCCGAATGAGGTGGAAACATACTATAAGCTTTCCAACATCCACTAGACTTTCCCCATCTTCTACTTTGTACTTGGAACCAACCCAGTGATCCCTACCAGCTTCTCAGCATTTAGTAGCTGTATGTGTGCTGAAAGCAGCACCAGGAGGTCTCTGATGTGCCGCATCCAGTGTTACCTGTTACAGCCCTCAGCGTAACTCCATTGCTAGAAAGGTCTGCCTGCACAGGGGAATTCCAGGTATTTACAACACTGGAAGACATCTCTACCTGATTAAAATGAGAGTAGATTCATCAATAAAATCAGAAGCCTAACCCAGCTTTACTGACAGTCTCTTTTATATTGTCTCTAATGACATAACTAGCCAGGAGCTCTACTCTGGGCAAACCCAGGAGCAGATCAGGACACTCGCATTCTCAGCAAATAAGTACGCTTGTCAGGAGTCTACTTTCCAGGTAGACTGGGTTTCCACCATGGGTGCCTGTACAACATTCATCTGCCCTTGGTAATTAATATGTTGTTGGCTTAGAATAGACAAATAAAGCTAATGACTTAGGTGACCTCAGTTCCTCCAGCTTCCAGATCTCGTTCGCTGTTAAGGATAAGCTGACCATGTTTCAAGACTGCACAGCACTTGTGCAGCTGTAGTCCAGCAAGAAAGACTATTCATTGCTTCCAGGAAGATCTGAGGTAGGATTTTTGCTCTTGAACCAACCCGAATTTAGGGCTCAGTTTCTTAGCTGATGAACTCAATGGTAAACTTAGCAGTGGCTTCAGTGGTGCTGGCTCAAGGGCCATAATGACCCCATGTACCAATTTAAGTTTGTAAAGCTTCATAGGAAACAGTGGTGTCAGCCAGCCAGTTTCTATGTCCCAAGCATTTTTAACATATTTACTAGCATACCCTCAAGCGTGAGCATTAAAACCACATTTGTCCAATAAAAGAATAATAGGTTTTGCATTGCTGTAGCCTTGTTCTTTCTTGATTTTACTTACACCAGCTTATTAATTTGCACACAAAGAAACCCTCTATCATTCTCAGAGACCATAATGGTGATTAGGGAGTTTCTGTGAGAGCCAGTTGCTGTGACGTGTGAGTAACAGTGGGAAAGAGAAATCAAGAGGCCTGGGGAAGCTGGAGAAGCTTGTTAGCTGACACTGGCAGACAGGCAAAGGAAGCTAAGAGAGTTCTGAACAGGAAAGCACCAGAGGAGAAGGCATTCATGCCAGGAAGTTGATGGAAAAGGCCAAGCGCTATAATTAGGCATAGAAGGATCATCTCTGGGAACACCTGCTCTAGATGGACACCCATCTCCCACACAACTTTATCCTGACTACTTAGGCTGCTCTCAATTCCATGTGCATGCCTTGAGCTCATGGAGGCCACTGAGGGGACAGTGCAAAACCAGCTTAAGCTGATCTAGATCCACAGCACCATGGAAAGGAGCAGTTCTGCTCTCTTGTCCAATGGAGCTGCAGTGTCATGTTGTCCCATATGCCACTTTCCTCCTCATCCCTGTCCCAGTCACTTCCTTCCACCCATGCTCTATTCCCAGCTCCACCCTAGCAGTGCATCTGTGTAGGATACATTTCACAGGACTCCTCTTCAGAAAGTTAAGTAATTCTCAGATGAGGAAAGGCGTGGGTGGGAAACAGAATGTGTCTTGGGGGAAGGCAGAAATGGGATGTGGACCAAAAAAAACCCAAAAAGCAGAACTGAGGCAGAGAAAGAGTGGTTCCTGTGAAGTCCTAGGACAGCTAGTTAGCAAAGCTAGGAACTGAACTTAGTTTTTATCTAAATTTTCATCTGACTTGCAGCATCCACTTGTAATGTTTAGGCAAACTTTGTGTGTGGGAAAACATTGCTCCAAAGCTGATAAGGTTCCAGCCCAAATTCCTCAGCACAGAGCAAGGCAATGATGAGCCTGCCTTGCAAAAGTTCACTGGCTTCAAAATCCAATCAAGACTGCTTTGACTTTCCTAAAGCCATTCTGGAAAAGAGAGCATTTCAACCTGCTTGGACACCTTACTGAGCCTCAATCACCTTTCACCTGTGCTAACACAAACCAGATGCCATTTCAGGGAAAGGAACAGAGTTGTGCCTATTCAGACCAAGTGCAACTGAGGACAGATGCTCGGTACAGGGTGCCCACAGCACCTCTTCATTCTCCTGTGTTCTGTGGCACAGAAGCACCCCACCTACACTTGTACTATATAGAGTAAAAGTCATGCCTTATCTGAGAGCCAACACAGAGCCTATGCATTACTGAAGTCCCATATAAGCCTAACATTTTAAATAAAACCTTATTTTTTAATAAATAAAACATCAGGACATAAAGTCTTATTTATTTAATAAATAACAACAGCATGGATTGAATTCAAACATCTGAGAGAAAAGCACTCTTTCATAATTGCTGAGCATTGCCCCAGTCCTGCTACAAAGGCTGCAGATGGCATACTGTCAGCGTTGTCAGTGATTTTTTTACATAAACTAGGGCAGGGTAATCTTTGCATTCACAAAGGGAAATGCAGAAAACTTCAAAAAACAAGGAGAACCTTTTGAGCTTTTCTAACTCTAAATAAAAAAGGTGAAGAAGGAAAAGTGGGGTGAGCTGGCTGGGGAAGAGAAATACCAACACTCACTTCCGTTGTGGGTCTCCTTTAACCTGAAACTCAGTGAAAGCTGGTGCTAAGCCAAACCCACATCCTCCATTTGATCCACTCCTCTTGAAGAGAGGTTTGAGTAAAAGAGCAGCATAAGTAATTGGGGAAAACATAGACACAAACAGTCAAAGAGGAGGACTTGACTGCTTTTCCTCCCAAATCTTAAGATTAACTTAAAACCCATGGATTTTTGTAGAAAAAAAGAGCGCTCTATTTTTTCATATATTCTGATTTCTCAGTTTGCAGAGTATATAAGCATTTTCAATATTTTTCAACATTTTTCACTTTCAGTATTTTTCAAGTGCTTCAAACAGTATTTTTCAATGACTTCTCAACAATGCTGAGCCTAGAAATATGGGGGTTTTAAGTGAAGGCTGAGATTCTTGTTTAATCACTTGACAATGAGAGCTAGGATTAGTTTTACAAGACATCAAATACTATGAGACTAATGATAGATATATCAGACTTGGCAATGCATTACTGATTAAAGAAAAAGAAACAGCAAACCCATAGGCATGTTGAAATAAGGCAGATTTCCTATAAAATCATGAGAGACCTTTCAACCTCTTCCAGTCCAGTATTCAGGATTTATAATACGAGATAAACCTGGCATGGAGTCATGGCATGGCTTAAGCAGAGAGATGCCAACATGGTTGAAGGGAACTAGTCTGTGGATGAAGCAGAAGACCTGGCAGAAGACCAGCTGGCTCTTAGGAAAACTTAGTTGGACTTGACCCTGGACTCAAAGCCATTGAATCCTTTATAGTTTTTAAACTTTATTTTAAGCCCATGTTTATTGCACCAGCAACGTTACTATACTGGCCTGCATCTTTAAGGCTACAGTACTGTTTGCAAGCAGAGAATATGAACATCGCTGGTAGTGGCACTTTGTGCCAGAGTTGTTGGCGTGAACCGTAGGCAGGAGGAGTGCTGCTAATAACACATTATCAAACATAAAACATTGCTTGTGCCTAGATTTACTTTTCAAGACACAATAGCTACACAGGGGACTGCTAGGTTATTCCTCACTATTTCAGGGTACTGGTATGTGTGTAGCTGATGCTCTGCATAGTAAGTTGGACCTATGCATCAAGTTCAAAAAAAGCAGCAGGGCTGCCCATGTGCTGAAAATGAAAGATATGCGCAAGTGCCTGTGGGTCAGAGCCAGCAGGTTTGACTCTGTCTTTCTGAGTTCCATACTTGAACAGCATTGATTTCAGTCTCATCCAGCTTGTGAACTTTGGCCAAAATCAATGGAGTTCAGTCTTAAAGCAAGAGTCAGTCATCTAAATACTTTTCAGGATCTTAGTTTAGCTGGTGCGTATCTACAAGGAAGACTGGAAAAACTGGACTGCGATTTAGAGGGAATCAATCAAAGAGTGTGCCAAGATACGTGGGGACAGACAAGGCACTGTGTATTCTGTTCAAACTTTCTCAGACATAAACATCTAACTGACTTAATCTCATGAAGACCAGGACACACTCTGCCTTAGGTTATTTTTAAATCACTTAAGAAGAATAAAGTGAAGTTTTGTTGTAGGAATAAATTCTAGATTTCCTACCCATATATCAGCTTCACAATAGCCATTATCTCATGGACTTCAATGAGAGTTTGTGCTCTGTTACACCCCATATTTACAAGTCTGAGCTTAGCATTAAAGCCATGTCAATGGGCTGAATCCCAGTACATAGAAAAAGGCACAGCTACATTTTTGCAGGATGTGAACTTTACTTTCCATGCAGGATCAAATTCTTCATTGCCTGAACCAGACAAGTCACCACACTGCAGAACCTGGTCCTAAAAAGATCAGCCCAAATTGTGGAGAACACAGAAGATGACACAGGTGCACAAGAGACAGTTGTATCTGAGAGAAAACTGAGGGTAATGAGAAGAATTGAAGCGAAAATAGTGAAAGACATGAAGCCACCTGAAGAACATGTCATTATGTAATTTCTTAAAATAAATGCATGTTCCTCTATCTTAGGAGATGAGATGACTAGGA